TGTATCTCTCATCTACTTTCATACACGCAGCGAACCTTTTTTTTTTCTTTTTTTTTTTAATTAATGGATCCTTCTTCTAACGGAGCTAGTACTCTTCATCATCCACAGATCACATTTTGTCTGGGTGCCATGATGGCCGTCAGTGCTAGCTTCTGGTTCTTTGTTCAAACAATTGACGCACGGACTGCCGTGTATGCGACCTCCATGCTTATGGGTAGCGGTGGTTCTGTCATGCTTGTGACGTCATTTTCCTTAATCGCGCAGCTCATTGGCCACGACAAGGTAAACAACAGACGTGATATTACATAGCAGCTATAGGGAGAAGAACGTGTAGTTTGTGCAGTTTGACAGCGTATCTTTTTTTAAATTGATGATTGCTTTTTTTTGTTGTAGAGATCCGGAGCTTTTGTGTACGGTTTTATTGGTTTCTTTGATAAAGTTTTCAGTGGAGCGATATTCGCCATTATTCAGCAACTAAATCCTCGTAAAGATCAAGGGTAAGCCGAGTTTTAGTTGATTCCCCCCGTGTAGCGGCTTTCATCTCCTTGGTATTGATCTCCATGCTGCTTTCCGCGTTGAAAATTTCTAAGACCAACTTAAAATTTTTCTTAAGTTGCTAAAACGTAAACAGCGGACGCCGCCATATTGGAAAGGTCACAGTAACCTGGCCTTTTCTCGCGTTCCACAAGCTGCGTTGCTCTAGTTATTGCAATTGATGTTTTTGTAACGTCTTAAATCTGTTAAAGAAAGAAGTATATGGCAAGCGCAAGGAGGATTGATATTTGTATATGACGTCTCACGGTAGCTTTCCTTTTGTAGAGTTGAATGCTCCAAGTGCGATGAATACACGCGTCACGTGCAAAGCATAGTACCAGGCACGGTTGCTGTTCTGGGACTTGTGTCAGTAATGGTGTTCTTTGAGTCGATTTTCGTGTGCAAGAAAAGAGGTGAGGAAAAGTTATTTTGAAGTCGGATCCCTATTTTTTCTGTTTAAAAAATTCACCCGAAGAACGTAAAAATCTTGGGAGTTAAAGACAGTTTTAGCCAAAAACATTAAGATAATGAGCGAATTTGATAACATTTAGGCAGTATATCGATTCTATGAGAGGAACTAATCCAATTTTGAGAAATTTATTGTGTTTTCTGTTGGCCAAAGTGAACAGGGTTTTGAATAAACGATGGTTTTTTTTTCACTTAATTTTCTTCGTTATTAACTTGCCCCCTTCTTCCCTTTACCCTTACTTACCACCTACTCCTTCTTGTCTTCTAATCCCAATTTAGACTTTTTCAATGTGAGTCCCCTTGTTATAATAAGCGATTTAATTATCATCACCAGTCTCATTAGAGTAAACTTTATAGTTGTGCCCTCCACGCCCTTTGTTTTCCGTGCCCTATTCTTTCCTATTTGGCCGTCGACTTTTCATGATACACATTATAATGCTATTTTGTTCATTCTAGCGTCGACAACAGACGCCGCAGTCCAAGTTGATTTAGATGAAATCCTGGGCGACGGTGACAGCAGCTCAAGTGGTGTGGATACATCCTCTATGACAGAGAAGGCTGACAGCGAAGTTTGCCACATCGGCAGTGCAGAAAAGGGAGCATGCGCAACGCAAAGCAGACCTTTTGATTGCTCCATAGAATCGCGGAACTTTCATCCGAAGAAAACAACAAAGCAGAATTATGTCGCCATACGACTGGCGTCTGTATCGCTACCTTCTCCCGTGTTAGATCGAAGAACGATTATATAGTCTGTTCTGTATACGCTGAGTGCTCCGTATGAACGCGTTGATATAACGTGGTGTGGGGTGGGAATTTATTTATTATAAACTAACGCCAAAATATTAATTTATTGCACGGCAAGGCTTATATGTGAATTGCAAGAGTATTTTTGTAGTGGAACGGAGAAAGGGCTTGATTGCTCGAGCCGGTACTCTTGATTTTCTCATAATTGTGGCGAGCGTAAAAATAAGAGAAAAATTATGAATAGAACTCGTAAAGGATGCAACGTAACCCCGACAACGACAAGGAAGATGATGAAAATGACAGCGACCATACTGATATTTCTGTTGGCTGCGAGCGAGTAACATTGTCACTTCGTGTTTTGTTTCTCAGCTTTTGCAGCTAAACTCGCTCACTCTTCAGATCTAAATAATAATTCTCCGCAGTGTCTACCGTACAACTCTTGCAGTTTACCATTGAAGATTTGGTGGTAAATCGAACAATATTCTCTAATTAATATCTTTTCTATCTTCTCGTCGCCGTCGTGTTTTAAAATGTATTGGTATCGAAAGGAGAAATTCATTTTTGGACTTTTCTATGATTGAAAGGGTTAGGCAAGAAGTAATGAATTGTCGAGTGTCGAGTAACCTCGGCAAAAATAAATTTAGACACTGTGTGTCTTAGAAACTTAAGTCGTCCTTGACGATAAACTTCAAATGAACTACTTATAAGTCCTCCTAAATTTTCCTCAAGTTACTTCAATTTCCACGGTTCCAGCTTGACAAAGATGGAAAATTTCTTATATGTATTAATAAAAAATTTGGGACAAATAAGGCACATAAGGGTGGTTTTATCATAGATACATCCAATAATAATAGTTTGAACTTCTTACGATCTAGCAAATGATTTGCTGGATATATTTCTTCTATGCGTGATATCTTACCATGTTTTAACCATTATCTGACCGTCATGAAAACTATAACAAAATTCTCGAACGTGATTGGTTATTACCTGCCCGAAATTAACACTAGGAGGACAGTGTCGGCGTCATACCCATCAGTTTGTGTCTCAAATTTTAACTTAGTTTTGATCAATTGTTAACAATTTTCGTCCAGTTCTGCGTGTAGTCATACTCATGATTGGCGTTCGAAATTCCGCCTCGCGGTCGTTCCATTTTGTTAATCAGTCGTATGATTACGAACTGAATTGGACTTCACTCAGTCCTTTTCACCCTTGTCACGCCGCTCTGTTTTCAAAGCGAGAAATCTTTGATATTTCAGCGTGATGCATTCAGTTATTTAGGTTAGTTATTTACTCGCTTTTTCTCGGAAACCATCATGATTTGTGTTTATTTTATTTCTGCTGCTACCATTTCCATTACCAAATAAGGATGTTACATAAGGTTAAAATCGATTTTACGGTGTAGGCGTAGGTATATCACGGGTCAGTCACAAGACATGCTCTTACTCAGCTCTATGCAGTGAGGACAATGACGCATTTGAAAGCCGCATTTAATTGAAACAAAGATCGCTTGTAATCAGAGTAAATCTTTAATTAGATTTTAATTAAGTCATTTTTTCGCGTCGCTGTTTTGCAGTAACCTGTTGCGGCTATTTTTTTTTGGAACATGCAAACAATTAACAATATTTTGCTTATAAGATGAAAATATCAGAGCTTGATGCAGAAAAATTCTTCAGCCACTCGATCCTATCTGACGGTTAACGCAAACACGTATGCCCCCTTATCAAATCAAACGTATTGATTGCTGAGCCCGGAAATTCCTGTTTTCTCTTTGAAACCACATTTTGCAGCCTGAAGTATGGCTGTGTTCAAATGTTTGGGTGCCGGTGTAAACGAGAAGGATTCAACCTTCAAAAAGGCTAACAAGAAAGAACGGCTACCCATTGGGCAAAAGTTTTCTCACGGAGTGGGCCATATTTACAACGATTTGACTGCTAACGCATGGTTCAGCTATTTAATAATTTTCCTTACCAAGGTCGCAGGGTTGTCAAATTTTTATGCCGGGCTAGTTATACTCGCCGGTCAAATAACCGATGCGACTTGCACTCCATTCAGCGGATTTTTAAACGATCGCACAGTGAATACTTACGGCCGGCGCAAAACCTGGCATTTAATTGGGACAGTATGCAGCACGCTCGCCTTCCCTCTTTTATTTAACCGATGTCCCGGTTGCCAGGATAGCAGTGAAGCAGTAAAGCTCACGTACTACGTCATCTGTGGTTGTGTTCTTCAATTAGGCTGGGGATGCGTTCAAGTCAGTCATTTGTCGCTGATACCAGAAATATCCAAATCAGCCAGTGAACGAGTCGAGCTGAATGCCATCAGGTAGGTGTCCTAATAGCAGAACCACTTTACGAACCACGATTACAGTAGAAATTATCTTTTAAAAAACTCTTCATAGACATTGCATAACAGGTTTTAAGAATCAACGGCTCAATCAGAAACTAGTTTTGAAAGTAATAAAAAAGTAAATATTGCTAAAACCGTAAGTCAAAACAGGCACATTTTGAGGGGGAAAATTTTTTTTTGTTTCATTTGCCACAGTATTTACCATATCGTTTTAAAATTTCGTGTACTGCTCTTTGAAAATACACTGTGTTGTCTTTTATCTTTTGTCGCTGTTTAAGTTGAATCAAAGTTTACATTTTTTGCTTGCCCTCGTGAATATTTTATTCAAGATAAAAAAATATGTTTTCGTTAGTCTGGCAGGTACTTGTCGCTACACTCTTGAGATATTTTCCGGAAACGAAACCAAACTCTTGCTGCGCAAAGCGACGTGGTAGATCACGTGGCCAGAAAAATTTTACAAAATGTCGAATTATGTTCGTTTCAAAAACAGTATGCAGTTGGATAGTTGTAGACAATTCCAATACGGCTGAAAACGGATAAATTCCTGGTTTCGGGGACAAAAATCAAACCAGATTTTTCCCGGATAACATAACTTGCGTGCCAGCCTCGTTAGCACGATGTCCTCTCATTATTATAATCTGCATAGTATTTCGATTTGCCCCGGCGGTTTCAAATTTTTTTCTGTTTTCCTCTCTCTCTCTCTTTTTTTTTTTTTTTTTTTTTTTTTTTGCGGTCGGAGTTTCCGCAGTCAGTGAACCATCGAGAAAGAAGCCTTGTTAAAGTATTTCAAAAGCTGTTCTTGTCTGTTCTTAAAATAATCCAAAATCAATTACAAAAGAGCAAAATATTATCTTGATAAATGAGCTGTGTTCCAATAAGGACGCCAAAACATGGGACCCTTTTCATTAATCATTAATTTTGGCACCAATATTCTGAAATTCAGTTTTAATGAATCGCAAACGATTAGTGGTTTGATTTGGAGAATTTAATGTGGTAGGCAGCTTCGCTTTAATAATTACTAACATTGGATTTACAGTAGAAAAATTTGAATGCCCTGTGTATAGAAAAACTGTACAGTGCTGCTTTATTACGTAACAATTTTACGAACCAAATCGGGTCGCTAGACGATCTTAAACAACTCGTGATTGGATTTCGGAGATCCCTGGGGCTCGATTCGGCGTCATTCATTTTTTTTAAAGCAATTTTGGCAAGCTCATATAAGCTCCTGGTAAACTGTCCAAGACAACGTACTTTAGTTCCCAGTTAGGAGGTCGGTTTCTATGAACGCACTCCGTTGGTTTTCCGGCTTCACGGAAAGAAACACATCCAAGAAAGACAGGCTTTCTTTAACACAGCGATTGTGTTACTCTGTTGGTCATGTTTTGAACGATTTGGCAGGTAATGCGTGGTTTAGCTACCTTCTGGTATTTCTTACCAAAGTAGCTGGACTCTCAAACGCCAGCGCAGGTTTTGTACTACTTTTGAGTCAAGTATTCGAGGGTGTCTGCACGCCTGTTGCTGGGGTATTCTGCGATAAAACAAAGTGCAAATATGGACGGCGAAAATCATGGCATTTCATTGGAACTGCTTGCGTTACGACATCATTTCCTTTCATTTTCAATCGATGCTTGGGCTGTGCGGAGAGCAGCAATGCTGTGAAATTTTTATACTATACCGGGTTTTCTATGTTATTTGGGTTTGGTTGGGGATGCACTCAAATTGGACATTTATCACTGATTCCTGAAATCAGCAAACGGGAGAGCGAAAGAGTTGAGCTTAGTGCGTTCCGGTGAGTGTGCTTTTTTTTTTTTTTTATTATACAGCGCTATCCAAATACTTTGGTTCTCTTTTTGCTAGGTAGATATATATATATATATATATTTTTTTGGATTCACTCTCAGGTAAACTTTTCTGTGGGGTTTAAAAGCAACTATAGTAATTGTGCAATGATGCTGAAAGTCGTGATCGTCTAATTCCAACCACAACTGAAGATTTGTTTGACAATGAATTCTTCCTGTTTTCATAAGATAATAATAAAAAAACGGCAAATTCAAAGCTAGGGACGGAGAGAGCTGACTCAAGATTTAAAATTTCGGAGAGGAAGGAAAAGTCATTTAGGTTTAACATGGCTGGTGTTTCTATTTTTTTTTTCCCTTTTGGTGAGGAAATTTAGTAAGGGCTTCTGTTAGGAGACTAGGACATATGCTTTGTTTTCCTATATAAGAAAACCTAGATTTGAGGATAACAATTTTGTTTAAGTTTTGGGTCTGAAATGTTCTCAAGAAGTTCAAATAATTACATGGAGTAGTATTCTGATAAATCAGTAGATCTGGAGGATTTGGTAGTTTGTTAAGTACAGATTAGGCCGGCCTATAAACAGATCTCCTTCGGTATATCTTGCGATGGAAACATTTGTTAAGTACAGACTAGGCTGGCCTATAAACAGATTGTTCATACCAAAAGAAAAACATACTTCTATACATCACAGAATAAGACGTCTGGGTGTTTGCGTTCAGTGCCACACCCTCTGGAGGTTTTATCTGTTGACCTCTTGACCCCTCGTAGCATCTAATTTCTCCCTTCAATCACAAATCAGTCAGCACAGTAAGGTCTCAATGATAAAGGAAATGATCACCAACTAAAGATGCTCTTGATTGTTAAACAAATTCTCCTTGTCGGTAACTTTGGAAATGTGTAGAGAACAGAATGAAGAATAAGAATATTTATGTTAGGGTGTGAAAGGTAGCGGGTACCCATGTAGCTACTATAGCCGAGCTCTTTTGGAGTCTTTTCAGTCCCTCGGGCACCATCATGATGTGGGAAAAAGCCTAAGTCCATTGAAGCCATTCTATAGGAGGTCACAAAACGCGAGTTTGGGGGCGCGTTGTGTGATACCCTAAATAAAAGCTGCGCAAAGGTGGGCGTGCAATAACGGCGCGCTGTTTGTCCGTTCTTTGTTATCTGCCCGTTCTTTCGCTCGTCTCTACAGACTGAGAGAGGGCCTGGAAGAGGTTAAGCTATTATGGTGTCACTAACAACAATAGTTTCTCGTTACCAGATCCGCCCTTACATTTCTTTGTGGTATTTACGTTTATGGAGTCACGTGGATTCTTCTTGGTCAAAGCAAAGAAGAGACACTTTCTCCGAATGTTTGGAAGCAATTTATGGTGAGTCACATGAGTGCTGTTCAGGTAGCCTTACTTTTTAATTCTTATCTTGTACATTTTTACTCCCAAAGAAACTGTTCCTTTAATATCATGTCCATTCAACCAGGAAAACGAAGATTTATTTCTACTGGGGCAACAACCTGGCGGGAAACGCAGTGGCCTGGTGTCATCGGATCTAAACGCACCGGAGGTCAGATCGATAGGTCTGGATCCGAGGCTGGGCCAATGTGATTTTGAACGAGACACTTTACTCTCACAGTGCCTCACTCGATCCAGGAGTATAAATGGATACAGGAGAAACTGCCAGGAAAATCTGACAAAATGTCGGGTTGGGATGGGGGCTGGGGTGGTATAGGGGCAGGGGTTTACCGGTAATGGACTCACATTCTATTCAGATGAAAAAGCAATACTCCGACTCTAAGCTCGTAATACTCATTGTTCTTCTTCACAATTGTCATAAATTCATACTTCTCTCATTTAGTATCTTGGTTTTATCGTCGTGGGAACTGGTACGTTGTTTAATATCATTTTCCACGTCGGAACGAGAGAGCCTCCTTCAGAAGCCTTGCTGGAACGGCAGAAGAAAAATGTTCAGGGTACCAGTGAGAAAAAAGGTGAATGTTCTGGAAGCCTTAAAAGGCCACGTTTTGCTCCCTCGAGTTTGTATTTAATACTATTTAGATGTATTTAAGGCGATCTGCTGAGATTCGTTTATAGTACTCATATGAACATTAAATTTTTACGGTAAGTCAAATCATATTTAGACGAGTAGATCGGCTTATCATAGTTTTCCGAACTTTCAATTTCAGATTAGAGCACACTCTAAATAAGCTATTTAGCACTTAATAGTAATAATTAATTTCAATTATTGATTTATGATTATCAGTAATTATTTATAAAGGTTTTATTTTGCACCAGCTCTTCTCAAAGTTGATTGTGATCCTTCTCCTTCGACTCGTCGTTCATCTCAGCGAGTAACCACGTCTGTATGCGGCAAATCAGAGACAGCATCATCCTCATCTTGCAGTGACGAACTCACTTCCATTGAGTCAACGTTGGTAGAAAAGCAGGCGGAAACTCCGGGTCAATATGACATCATTGATAGGAGTGCCTCAAAAGGAGGCCAAAGGACTTGGAAAGACTGGCTAAAAGACCCCGCCTTTTATAAGGTATGTCCTTGAAATTGATGACGTCATCATGACAAGATGGCCTTATTTTCGTATTATTTAAGCCTAGGGTTTTCTACGGAATAGATGAACCTTTCAGCTCCCAAGATCTCAATGTTAATTCTCCCTTCTAACTGTTCCACATTTCCTTGTAACCTGGTCACGAGAATTTGGTGTTAGATCAAGATAACAACTTCTACCCGATAAATATGAGTATTCATATCTCCTATTTGCTGGATTAAGTATGGATATTATAGGGAGAACTTACATGTTAATCACTGCCAGAAGTTGAAGAGTTAAGTGAGCGTCAGGCGGGGTGGCTAAGCAAAATCCGTCCCACTTGATTTTTTGGCTTTCTTGGCGCGGAAAAAATCTACATTTACTTCACGCGTTATATCAATATTTTGGCGGAGAAGGAATACATCAGCCGCACGGGTTAAACAAATGCGCTGAATTTGCCGCACGTGATTGGACGATGGACGTGATGAACATAAAATCTCCGCAACCGGGAGTGAGCCAAGACATCTTACCCGAGGATAAAGCTTATATGACGGTTAATTATTAGCGCTTATTGGCAAGATTGTTTTCTCGCCAGCGGGAAAGTATATGGCCTTGAGAGAGTCTGGCACTCGTTAGATTTTTATTAGTGCCAGACCACACTCTGATTCGTTTCGAATCTTTCCACGGGCGGAGAAACGCGCGTCGTGTAGTGCTTATAGTGAAGGCGAACTCGCACGCTATCATCGTTATATTATAATACCCTTTTTTAATGCTGAGATTGTGGATTATTTTTTAATTTGAAAGCTTCCAAAGATACGAAATTGTGGTTGTTATGGGGGTTTTTATGATAAGATTTACTCAGAGTGATAACGCGTTGAATTCTTGTTCCTCTTGTTCCAGGATTTAAAGAGGGTTGCTCAAATCTTGATTTTCTGTTCTTCCTTTTTGCAGACTGGTTTAGTTTACACTTGCAGTAGGCTTGTTGTAAATGTCTCTCAGTCGTATTTACCACTTTACCTGACAGAAACACTCAAGTTTGAAAAGGTTAGTATAAAGCTGGTCATAAATCGCGGAGGTTTAAATGGCCTGTTACAGGTGTTCAGTTATGATAGCGGCAGAGCGAAAACGAGGGAGTCGCGACTCGAATCAAACCTCTTTTTTTCCGCGCCGCTAACAGCGCGCTTCGGATTATTAACTGAACTCCTTGAACAGGATTAAGTTTAAATGAGTTTTTCGCAATTCGAAGGCAATTCCTTGATGATGAACGAGCTGAATTTGTGATTTTTTTGTAGGAAGCTATCGCCTATTTCCCTCTTGTGGTGCTGATCAGTGGCGTATTTGCCAGTGGAACAGTCAAGCCACTGAACAAAAGACTTGGTAGTAAAGTAAGGTTATTACATGTAA